TGAAAATAAGACTTTTTGGCTTATATAGGCCTTGATAAACCGTCGGCATTGTACAGTAAATTTTTATGTCAATTTTTTATTATGCATCAATTTTTACTGTGAAATATTAAAAATGCTATCTTTCGCCTCATTAGAGAGTTCGTTCTTGAACCAAAAACAAATCAGGAAAGAAACTTTGTTAGAATATCTGAAAAATTGCGAGCTATACGTTGATCACAAAGATACTTAGACAAACGGACGGACGGACAACTTTGCGTAAGTCGGTTCAATAAATGATTTTGAATCAACGGGTCTCTACTAAAACTTGAATCCATCTTGTGTTCGTCTGGCTAATGCATACATCCGCTCAAACTTAATATACGTTGTGTCGCAAGCGTTGGAGAGTATAAAACCAGCAGCGGATGTGGAAGTGGGTTTGAAGCGCAGATGACTCATATTTATATGTGTGCGTGTATTTTATAACAGACTTGTAGCTAATAAGAGAAACAATCTACTGTAGGTAGTTATTATTTCTGTGGTACACAAGTAAAGCATGTATAAAATTTTTTAATTATAATATTGGAAAAGCTTTAAACATATAAGAAGTTGTTGTTTTAATCATATCAACATTGCATCTGTCAATTTTAGCCAATTAATTGATATATTACTTCTTTTTATCTTCGTCTTTTTCTTCTTCTTGTTTGCAGTATAAACCGCTTATATAAATCTTGACTAAATATTTCCTGCATATGGTTTTTAATTTTTTTTTTTTTATATAACAGCATTTGATTAATTATTTTAGTCAAGTGTCGGTTTTACTGGCTTTTTAAACCAGTTTATTATTATTATGTGTATTCATAAATATTATTTATTATTTAAAGTATTTAGCGTAAAGTATGCGCTATGCCTGATTACATAAATAGTTTTTTTTTCTTTTTCTACTTTTATTAATTTCTTTTTCTTTTTTTTTTTTTTTTATGCGTAATTTTCCACTGTCAGCACGCCATAGTAGTAGATGTTTAAAAGAAGAAACAAAAAAAAAAAAAAAGAAAAAAATTAATAAATAAATAAACCTAAGATTACAAGCATTTACATGTATATGCATGAAATGCCAAGTTGAAATTATTTCTTCAATGCCCCCATAAGGCTTAATGTGCACACGGTTTGCATTCAAAATTTCATAATTATTTTTTTATGAGGAATTTAACGAAAGAGAAGAAAAAATAATCATAATCATTACAAGTGAATGACTAGTGAATGTTAAAACAAGACCGCTTAATATCCGTTAATAAATACATACACAAATAAGAAAAATCCCATGGCAGGACGGCAGTTCAAATTTACATGTGCAACGCATTAAACGTTAAACTTGTGCATAAGTGCACTTAGAGGAGAGCTCAAAAAAATTGTAACTTTCAAAAGGAAATTGCGGAAATTGATGAAAACATAATTTAAAATTAGTTTTCTCTAAGCAATTCACTTACCAGGCACGAGTGTTTACGAGCACATGTCAAAATAATAAAGGGTACCGTCCATTAAGAAAAATAATGAATTATTACTAAGTCTTTAAGTCTGACACTAATTTCCGCGGTCATCGAAGAATTAATTCGTTTATCACTACTGTTGTTTACTTGAAGTTATCTCGTAGATTTTCTGCTTTAGATAAATGTTGTTGTCTCGAGTTTTTGCTTTTACATCAATGGAATATCATGAACGAAAGAATTGCAAACGTTGAATAAGATATGAAATAATAACCTTCAGTTAACAGCAGAAACAAGTGAGGGCTACAAAGCTGTTAAGCGTTTAGGCCTTGAAATGATGGAAGACAATTCTCGTTTTAGATGAACAATAACGTTACATAACGTAAAAAACGTCAACCGATAGTCTTAACTAATCGTGAATCGATTTTCTACATTCCGAATAGGCAAGTGAAACATATTCACTTCATTATCTCTCGTTTTAGTATAACATATTGTCTCGCACCGAGAGAGGAAGATCGTGGACTATTTTTCCTACAAACCTTCATTATTACATAGAAAGTGTCCTCTATGTTCGGCAAATATCAACGCTAAGACAGAATGCATGTCAATTGTTTTTAATACTAAGTAAATATATATATATTAACTATCATCAAAAATAAATCGTCAAACTCAAATTTAGTCTGTTTTCCAAAAATTGTAACTTGTTAGCATAAAATATTCGTACATGTTAAGTTATGAGGCTACTATTAGTGAGCCAATTATTTGCATAAATTATGTCACAAGTTCTGTCTTTATCGTAAAGCCTTTATTTCGATACCAACTTTCCCAAGTGCGAAGATATACACCCATGTTCTCTCCTTTTATGTCAATAATGGATAATCAAATACCAAAAAAATATAGTAACAACAATATTTAATAATTACTATTAAACAAGGAAGAAAATTTCATTGGACTGCAATCAAATATTTTTTACCTATCAAGGAGAAAAAACATATTCACTGTTGCAGTTGATGATTAATGAGCAGGATGAGCAGGATTTTTTTCTCACTTTACACTGTGCCGTGAGCGTCTCCCTTGACCGATCTAGCTCATTTTCTATATCAATGTACGTCGAAGAATTTCCAATTTTCATGGTAGATGGACAGACACATATGCTAAAACCGATTCAGAATGTGATTCTGATCAAAATGTAAGGGATCTCTGAAGCTTTCTCCAGCTTTGGCGGAATGCGTTTAACGCCCTCTTTCGGTGATATAAAAATAATATTATTAATAAAATAGATACCATGTATTAATTCATTCGCTCATATGAACACTAAATCATCATACATGACCTTGTATACGCGGTCGTTTAGCCCTGCTACCGCCACCAATATGACTTTCATTCCTGTTATATCTTATCGTTTTATATCGTTGAAAACATTTTTTAAAACGATTAAAATTATTTCATAGGTCCAATAATGCGGCTTTTTCTGACCGAAATTTTGATTAAATATGCGTTGTGTACACTTAAAGCCATACTATTATTTTGGTAACCAAGTTTGGTCAAGGAGTTGAGAGAGAAAAAAAAATTGACAAAATGCCTAACGATGAGAAGAGAAAGACGAATTGAAATAACTCTTAGCTGGTAGAGTAGCGCTTTGTGATCAAAAAGTAAAGTAAATGGAAGTAATGATAATTATTCAACGATTTTCGTAGTGTAACTCATTATAAACTTCTACCGCCCGGCGAGGCTATTAAATTATTGGTTTTTGTTCCACGATAGCTTTTACCTTCTCACAAGTCATTGGTTCTTTTCAACAGATACTCAAGTCACATCGTTCTACAATCATCTAATTTTTCTGATTTTATTTCGGCTGATCTCTGGCAATTCCTACTAACGAAACAACAGTTTTAATTCGTTATCCTAATGTAATATAACACAAGAGTTTTCTTTTCGATCACATATAAAATGAATACCGTGCTACTCGCTTATTGGTCATGCAGGAATCACTTGATTAAAGATAAGAACGAAAAGAATTCAAGGTGGCTGTTTTTAATAAAATGTAAACGATAATTCCGGACAACGGATTTTCGCTTCACGATGTTATTAAACATTATTTGGTTTTTCAGCGCTATGGTGTAGCTAGAAAAAACTTTTTGCTAAGCGTAGCTCGCTTTGTAGTTCAAAATTTAAAGCCGTTGATAGCAATTTAAAGTTTAAAAACTATCTAAAAACGAAAAGAATTGTAAGTCACCTCAAAATCGCAAATTTGCTGCGTTATTATAATTAATGAGAACGTCAAACAAATAGAATGTTAAACGTTCGCCGTTAGACCTAAAATAAAACATTATGTACTCAATTTTTGCTATCTGTCTCTCTTCATTCAGCTTTTTTTAATCTTAGCAGTGTACATAATTAACCAAATGTGTATTTGCTTTTGCCTTCGCTCATCACCAGAGGTCATATTAAGTTTGTCAAACGTGTGTAATCCTCAGAAATCTTCATAGGAAATACTGTCTATGTGCGCCTCAAAAGATAACATAAACAAGTTTAGCTGCTTCGATCGATATTCCTGCACTAAGCGAAGTTTTGAAAATTATCGATCTATCTCTAAGAGTTGTCTACGTAAAAATTCTATTATTATCAAGCCTATGTTTATGTTTAACATGAAATTCTTAACCATTTTCTTTGTTAAATTTGAGTTTAGTTGGCCGAAGAGTTATCTTAAATTTGCGTGTGTATGTTATGCCATACATAAGCTAACAAATGGCGGCATATTTGACGTGCCATGCGTGCGATATCGTACGATGCTGCAAACTTACGATGGCTATGTTACAATTTTGCCTTATTTCTAGACCCATTGCAAAGATGGTAATTGTTTCTATGGCATTGCAGTACAGACAGAAAACATTATACAGCGTGTGCGAGTTGATGAAGATGAATTATTCTTCCCCACGGCTTCACTTCGCCATAAGTTCTGTCAATTATCTTCTTACTTTACTATTAATTTCCGAATTGTGTAGCACAAGTTATCTTCAAAAAGCGATCCCGTGTGTCTTTATCTCTAATTTCATAGGATATTCTTAGAAAAACAACAAAACCAATGGCACTGTGGGTAGAATACAATTCGTTCTAAACCTAAAGTAAATTTAAAAAATTTTTTTTTTGTGTTTATGTTTTCTGAATTTTTCTTTTACTATATTTTATGTATTCTTTCCATGTATTGTATGTTTGTACATTTTCGTTATTGTGGATCCACTCATTTGGAAAACAAAAGACTTGAGCAACAAACTTGAGTTTTGTAATGTTGTGTATTCTTTATGTGTGCATTTAAATACAAAACAAAACGAACAATTGCAGACAGAAGACGTAAACTGGCTTTTTCGGCATATTTACATAAATTTTCAAGCAAAAGTTTTTATTTTTATTCGATTTATTTATTTTATGATCAGGCTTTTTAAACTTTATTATATATATATAAACAATGTGAATCATAAATTAAAATTGATTTTTGATTAATTAATTGATTAATTGATTTCATATATATTATGCTTTTAGGCACTGGAAGTTCGCCTGCCCAGATTTCACAACGCAGCATTAGTCCAAACAATTCAACCACAACCAGTCAATTTAGTTTGCATCATAATAGTTCGGGCAGTTTAGGTAGTTCAACACCCACCTCATTACATCCACAGGTAAATAATAATAAAGTAGTTTAATAGACATTAACATAAACACGACCTTACAATGAATTTCATTTTTTTGTTTTTGTTTTTTCTTTTTTTTCATAGTCATCGGTATCCACCTTTAAGCAGTCACCAACTATTTTAAACGGTAACAGTTCTTTATTGGATAACACAATGCCAGGTGGTATACCAACGCCAGGAACACCAAACTCGAAAGCTAAAGTAAGTTAAGTGCAACGATTACAAATTTAACTTAAAACTAATCGTTTTTTTTTTTTTTTTTTTTTGCTTCGTTTCAGGACAATTCTCATTTTGTTAAAATTGTCGTAGCTTTATATCCTTTCAAGGCCATAGAAGGAGGTGATTTATCTTTAGAAAAGGTATTCATTTTTTAACAATTTTTACCCGGCTTCGCTCAAGAATACGATTTACATTTCATAAAATGAGTTGATCAAAAAATCCCTCGTCACATGTGACCATGGCTATCTGAACAGATTTGCCCGAACACAGCTTATGTTCTGGGGTCGACTTATGATTCTTCTCTGTTAGCGAGCTAGTTCACTTGACGGAGCACAAAAACGATAGCATTGTATCGATCAAAATTGGGAAAAATTCTTGCGCTATCGAGTATCATCAGCTCAATATTACTCGCCAAAAGTTGCTCGAAAATGAATAAATGAATTTAGAATTGAAAATTCGAATTTGAAACTCCGACCTAAGCTCCGTTTACCGATTCCTGTTTTTCGAGTTTTATCTTAGGTCGGTCGGGCATCTTATTTTTGCAAGTCAATACGACGTTATTTCTGGTTGCTTAACTTTTCTTTCATTTACAATATCACTAAAGGGTGTCTTTAGAGATTTAATGCAGTTTACAAAGTAAAATAGAAAAAAAAGAAACTCTATTAAAGGGTTAAAGCAATTAAAAACCAAATACAATCACAATGCTGAAAACGTTACTCTATTGGGAAAATGAAGTGACCGACCCTTTTTATATAAAATTTCAGGTGAATTCTAAGAAAGAATTTTCATATTGAAACAGTTAATATAACCGTGGTTGTGCAAGAAACCGCGTCTATTAATGCACTTGCTGTCGGTGTTGAAATAAAACATATCCCAAAAGGGGGATAGGTGAAACCAAGTCTGCGTTGAATGAAAATTTCGCCTCACTAGATGCTAAGCACTTCGTGATAGACACCCTTTTACATACATTCTTGATCGCCTCACATTATCAAACTAATTCGCATAAGTCTTTCCGTCCATCCCCCGGCCTGTCGTCTTTTGTCGAATTCTTTATGGTCGCTGACCCAATTGCTGGCCTAAAATTGAAAACGGGTTTGCTGAGTCCACAAAAGGGAACATGTGGACTAGACTACATAAATAAACTAAAAGTTAATACAAACATCATACAGGAATCGTCTAAAGCGTCCGTTACAAATCATCTTAATCGCTTCACTGACATGCTTTAAGATGAATGACTTCATTTTTTTCAAGTAATTAGGTTTGCAAATGTAAATCATATTTGCGACCAAAAAAAGAATAAAAATATGAACCATACATGTAAGGGGGAAGAGTAGTAAATAAGGTTGAATACAATTCCTTTACGTATTTATTTATTTAATTATTTATTTATTTTTTCAGAACGCTGAATATGAAGTTATTGATGATTCTCAAGAGCATTGGTGGAAAGTCAAAGATGCCATGGGTAACGTCGGTTATATACCTAGTAATTATGTAAAACCTAAAGCGTTGTTAGGATTAGAGCGCTATGAGTAAGCTTTGAGAAAATGTTTTTAGATAAAAGGCCCAAAATAAAAATTGTATTACTTAGATGGTACGTTGGTGACATGTCACGACAACGAGCTGAATCCCTGTTAAAACAAGGCGACAAAGAAGGCTGTTTTGTGGTGCGTAAATCATCAACAAAAGGTTTATACACACTATCGCTACATACCAAAGTGTAAGTATTTCGGAAAGTTTAGCATTCCGATAAAGTAATTGGCAAATATAAATAAAGCACATATTGCGTATTCAATATTAATAATTAATATATTTATAAAATGTATTTTATTTATTTTAGTCCCCAATCGCATGTTAAGCACTATCATATTAAACAAAATGCGCGCGGTGAATACTATTTAAGTGAAAAGCATTGCTGTGAAACTATACCCGATTTAATTAATTATCACCGTCATAATTCGGGCGGATTAGCTTGCCGTTTAAAATCCTCACCCTGTGATCGCCCGGTACCGCCCACTGCTGGTTTATCGCACGGTAAGAATTATATAAGAAACTTTATTAAAACACTATTTATCTCTCTTCCTGTGTGTTACTCAATGCCCTGCTTTTCTTCGAACCGTCATCGGTGTAATTATTTTACAATAAATCCTGTAAGTGAAGTTTTCCAGTTTACATTAAATTCTACAACAGAGACAGGAGTTGCTTTCCGGTTTTTTTTTAATACGACTTCTATGGAACAATCATTTCCTCTATCAATGATATACATACTGTGGTCACTCTTCGCCGCGATATTAAATTGTCGGTAAACGGGTCTTGTATTAGTTAAGACTAGGAAATGTTCTACGCAGCGTTGTGTGAATGATTACATGCCTTGTGACTTAACTTCAATCTAGATTTATCTAACACCTCATTCTTTATATTACACTTCCCGTGTTGTTGGGTTTACAGCAGCCTTCACTGTACTCCGCGAAGGACCATATCCAGCAGTCGGGGATCAATTTCGCTTCCGTCTCGGCATTCCACCACCAGTAGAACTGAAGAAGATGCTATGAAGCACATGTGTTTCAGACTCGATCGAGCTCGCCTATTCCCTCGGGACTTTATTTTATAAAACTTCCAGCTCTACTTTAGGCAAGCACAGTTAGTCCTGCCTTTTGAGTTTTTCATGGAATCCTGGAAAGCTGTCCTAACTGTTTTTTTCCTTTCGTAGATAGAAAATCGGTAGAAAATCATTGACACGACTAACTTCCACACGTTCCCCCAGCAACTGCAAAGCCGCAGTATTCCACAAAAGTAACTGGTCCGGTTTCAGCTACTCCTGTATGGCCTCCGTAGTACAGAACACGCTTAGAAAGAAGAAAAATTCTTTTATAAAAAAAAGAATATATCGTCATTACATTGTACCCCGAAGCAGAGTAATGCGAAAAGCTCGTTACCAGGTTATAGAAAATGTTAAACTTGAAAACTTCCTTCGTCGACAATGTTATAATCCAGAGAAGAGGACGAAACGCGATTGATATATTTGCGTTCTCCTTCCTTCTGCCTTCCTGTACAATGGTAACTATCGATAATTACTGCTTCATTTCACAAGTCATTGCACGACTGATCAGCAATGTGTAGGATCATGATAATCGCTTAACTGTCAAACGGTTTCTTGTTCTTTTTCTTCGCTTTCTTATTTAATATCGCAAGAGGTTCCATTATATGAGATAATTACTTTAAGCAAATACTAATTATTTTCGTTTTCTTTGAACGAAAAACTGTGGTATCACCCATTCCTTCAAGATCATCACCTCCTTCGAAATATTCTTTTAGATTGAACTGTTCTCTGCACTTAAGCCCATTGTTTTATTTAATTTCGTGTTTCCTCGTTTCCTCTTAAAAATGCCCTTGAATTTTCTTAATAAAAGCAATAAGAATAAGGAAACCATGTATAAAATTAGCAAAACAAGCTATTCATTGCTTTCATCGGCGCAAACTTTTGCCGAGGAGCAGTCAGAAAAATAACACTATGATTAAAAGATTGAACAAGATTTCAGTTTAAACGAGGCGGACGTATCGAAAGGATTTTGCCTTTTGTTTGACTGGCGGCAATCTCACCGATATCTACGTCAAATTTCATGTTAAAGGGAAATGAAAAATGACAAAGGCTTTTAATGGTAGCCAGTCATTCAGAGCGACCGTTTATGATTGCGTTTAAGATGTTTAAAGAATGCAGAGAATGCTTTAACGATATTAAATGTCTCGCCTGATCTTCAATATCTAGTAATAAATAGAGAGGAAGACATGGAAACAGAATAGAAAGTCATGGATGGGGTGCTACAAGAGTGCAATAGGCTTTGTTGTCATCATGCAAATATACTCTTACCGACGACAGACAATTCAGACCACATGCTTTTTATTATTGTAAGTTGTTCGAGGAACGGAAAAAATACATAGAACGCAATGGCAATGGGATACCTTATTGACATTACATATATTCCAATATCGTGTTGGATCAATACAATCGATTTCGAGAGATCACTTGGCCTTCGAGTGCGTCTTGCATCACTTTGGATATTCGATACCTTCTAACCGGGAACTCGAATCATATCGTTCCTTTCATTTATCTCATTTAAAACAAACTGGAGATCAACATATGCTATATGTATTACAATAGCAATCTTCTCGACTATTGTGTGGCTATTATCGGACGAATCATTTCCAATTTCATTTATGGCCGTCACCTGAGAGCATATAAATTTTGATAATAGCAAATAAAATAAATTGAAAACTCGAGCCAGAATCTTGCACTGTCTACTGTTTATATAACATAAAAGTGTTTGACATATATTTTCGCTTGTTATAAACGTAATTGCAACGAATGTCATTTCTTCGAGCTGGATACACTAGGAGTTGCTCTTTTTAAAACCCAGCGAAACTTTGACTTTTTGACGGGTTCGATCGTTTTCAAGATAAATTCCATGTCTATATCTGTTGTTGATGCAAATGCAAATGCAACATTTTAGTTTTCGTTCATATCGATTACATTTTCTCGGCTTTCACGAATCGTATTTTGCGAGTTCCATAAAATTAATGTCAATTTAATAATAAGAGACGCACTTTACGCCCTCACGTTGTAATCTGGTTTGAAAAGAGGGATTTTGTTAATAATATTTTTTTTTCAAATTAATTTTTAGATAAATGGGAAATCCATCCTTTGGAATTAATGTTAATGGAGGAACTTGGTTCTGGTCAATTTGGAGTGGTGCGCCGCGGTAAATGGCGTGGTTCTATAGATACGGCCGTTAAAATGATGAAAGAGGGCACCATGTCGGAAGATGATTTCATTGAAGAGGCCAAAGTCATGACTAAATTACAACATCCAAATTTGGTACAATTATATGGCGTCTGCTCTAAACATCGCCCTATTTACATTGTCACCGAATATATGAAACATGGTTCACTTTTGAATTATCTACGACGTCACGAGACTAGCTTGATTGGAAATATGGGCTTACTACTGGACATGTGTATACAGGTGCAAAAGCAATAAGAAAAATTATAATATTTAGAAACCGGAATGACATTGAGTTTCGTTTAAGGTCTCCAAGGGTATGGCTTATTTGGAACGTCACAATTATATTCATCGCGATTTGGCGGCGCGTAATTGCTTAGTGGGTTCCGAGAATGTAGTGAAAGTGGCCGATTTCGGTTTAGCGCGCTACGTCTTAGATGATCAATACACCAGCTCGGGCGGTACAAAATTCCCAATTAAATGGGCACCGCCTGAAGTTTTAAATTACACTCGTTTCTCCTCGAAAAGTGACGTTTGGGCATACGGTAAGAATTAAATAATGCAAAAAAAAAAAAAAAAACATAATTAAATTAATTTATTGAAATATTTAATTAAATTTTTATATTAAGGTGTTTTAATGTGGGAGATATTTACCTGTGGTAAAATGCCCTATGGCCGCCTAAAGAACACCGAAGTAGTTGAGCGGGTACAACGTGGCATCATTTTAGAAAAACCAAAGTCATGCGCTAAAGAAATTTATGATGTTAGTATAAAAAAGGGAAAAATTCAATTTATATTTTGTAATTGAAAATGAAAATTGCATTCAATTTTTGTTTGTTCAAGGTCATGAAAAAATGTTGGTCTCATACTCCCGAGGATCGTCCATCATTCCGCGTACTAAAAGAGCAACTGGCTCTGGTAGCACAAACACTCACCGACTAAATAATATTTTTGGGTTTTGTATGAGAAACAGAACTCGTAAGATCATTTTTCTATTTGCTCTTTACACAACTGAATCAAACATCTCTCCTAGATCATCATCCTATACGCATACATAAACACTTAAGTATATATGATATGCAATACATACATATTTAATATAATGAAATTTATGAAACAAAAATAATTAAAAAATAATATTTATAAAGCAAAGCAAGCACTGATAAAATAAATTGAAAGAATTACTTTATAAAGCAGAATTAAAATGTGTATACATATATATACATATATAAATAAAAAAAATATATATATATACTTTAAGTTAGCCAATAACATATGTGAAAAAATGTAGAAAACTATAAGATCTTTGAACCACAGAAAGTCCTTTAGAAACATTTACAGTTAAAGAAAATTAATTTTAAGGAAAAAGAAGAAAAATCAAGAAATATATCCCGAAGTCAAAGGGACTAATTAGTAATTATTAATTTAGTTTCACGAATTCCGCTGATTTTTTTTTTTACAATATTTCTATATACAATATGATTACTATAGCGAACCTACCCACGCGTACACCAACAAGTATAATTATATTACAATTTTTTTAGAAAAAAATAAAAATAAAATAAATAATCTGTTTAACGAAAGTGAATATGTATAGAGTAAAAAAACCAAGCAGATATGTTAAAAGAAATTTTTTTAATATATGTTAAAAACATAAAGCTGCTAACAATTGAGCATTTTTTTTTTTTTGCGCTTAAAAAAATTTTTATTCACATCTTTGCTCTAAATACTAGATAAAATTTGTGCTTATTTATCCTCTTTAAATGTACGCATAAGCGCAGCAGAACAACTAAAAGAAAATATGATAAATGATATAAATTTTTATAAGAAGATTTAAGACATATATATATATATATATAAATGATTTTTTTTTTATAAATTTTTTTACGTTCTTTGAAATCAATACAAAGCAAAATATAAGTAAGCGTTGGCTTTCAAACCGCTCATCGGTTTACATGCATAACCTACTGATTGCAATGTTAGTTGTACCCTACACCACTTGTACTACCTTCGGTATATTAAGCTTGTGCTGAACGTGTGTACAACACCTAAAAGACTTGGAATTGACCCAACTTTTATTATATCGATCTAGGCTTATATGTCCGTCTGTCCGTCGCGATTTTTGTGTTCAAGCTACAAGCCGTAATTTTTGGGATATTGTAAGAAAATCGGGCGGTGTGTCTTGGTCGACAGACGAACATTAAGAGACGCTGTTCGAATTGGTCCACTTTTTGCGCTACTTCCAATTTCTTCCGCTTTATCTTTAGAAGTCGTTTTATGAGTGCTGCACATATTAAATGATGCGGTGTAGGGTATTTAGTGACTAGTCGGGTTCCACTATAGTATTTATACTTGTTTTTTAATTAATTTTTACAATTCTTAAAAAAATATATAACATTTTTTTTTTGAAATTTTACAATTATATTCTATGAAGAACAAGAGAAATATAAAACTGCCAGTAATATCCATCCATTTTTGCTCATAGCGCTTAAGTATCCTTGACCGAAATAAGTGATAAAGTAAACCAACATGATCGAGCGACTAGGGTGAACGGTGCAATATTTCCTACGCGTAAGCCTTTATAACGTTTGTAATTAGGTTTGAATCACGGATCCGCTTATAGTTATGGCCCTACTTTTTTACGACGTTGACTTAGCTTGACACGAATTTTGATTATTTTTTTTGAAACTATTTGTCTTCTTACCATTTATATTCGGCAAGATTCTTTCTCGTTCGAATCGAATTTAAGTCAGAGTAAAATTTCGAAAGTAGACAGTAACTCTTTACAGCGCTTCATTTAAGTGATATAAGCGTTTCCCACAATGTTTTTTTTTTTTTGCCCTTCATCATCTTTAGAAAACACTCAAAATTTATAAAAAGGAATTTCAGCCAGCAATGCTATTGGTAGGTTTTTTTAAAGGCCCCAAGCATTGAGAACACGCTAACGTTCAGCATTTCCTTAAAATCAAAAAACTTTTTTGGACCGAATATAACCTTTTTTTTTAAATAAAAATATTCAGATGTTCCCACAAGTCAAGGGAATCGCTCTGAGTCGCTCTGAGCTCAAACTTGTTACTAATAAGGTTCCCGCAGTTCGTGCTCACTGACGTCCCTCAGCACCCGCTGAAGTTCGTCTTCGATTTTGATGGTTAGTGTAAATTATTGGGACGCCGCGTAAGTTCTCGCTTTTTTTTCATAAGGAAGCAACTTTTAGCATGAATTGTAGAATGAAATGTCGATTTCTCAAGGATTGCGCAATCAGCTTTAAGCGATAGTTTAAGTTATCTCATTTTAAAATTTTTTATATGCGTTCCATTTGTTAATTTCTTTATTTTAAAATCTTTTTCTGAGCTTCGAATATTTGGCAATCAGAGTCTGCCGTGAGCTTTACTAATTCTAATCGCTAATGTTATTATTTTATGAAGTTCTTTGACATTTGTATTCACATAAGAAAGCTTGAAGATCCGGATTTCCCTTAGTTTTTATGAAATCGCATAACAAACCAAAGCTTTTTATTTTGGCAAAGAGTTTATTGCTTTTAGAAAACATCTGAAAATGTTAAAATCTTTCAAGGGTTAAGTAAATTAATTAAAACTTTGATGTTAATACGTAACAATAGCATGTAGATCAGAGCCTATGCATGTGAACATAAGATGAAATGTTTTCAAACAGGCGACTTGCCAACTCGTACACATAATTTTTGTGATTTAATTTTATTTTATTATTTTTTTTTCTGCCTTTTTTTCTTAATTACTTAAAGAATCTTCGTTTGATTATTTTCATCCCGAATTTTGTAAAAGAAGTTTAATAGTAATTGAAGAATTTTATTTGCAAAATATTTTTTGGGTTTTCGTAGGTATTACTATCAGTATAATTAAAGTTTTTTAAAAGTTCAATGTCATTGTAGATTGCATTAAAATAAAAAAAAAAAGAAAAGAAATAAATATGATAAAAAAAGACGCAAAAAATATTACTTTATTTCCTTTCATTTTTTTTTTCTTTGTAAATTTTAAGCTTTAATAATTTTTAGTTTAATTTGAAAATAATTTTTTTATGTATTATTTTTGAACAACTCTTACGAATACAAGTAATAAGTATAAATAAAAAATTTTCTTTTAAAATTTTAATTTGCATTTTCTTTTTTTATTTTTTTTTTTATTCAAATTTATTTCAAGTTTCTAAATTAGTTTATTACCTGTCCTTTGCTACAAATTGCGATCAGTGAAAAGAAAGAGAAGTTATTCAGGCTCTTGCGAACCGACACGTCAAAAGCAAATTTTGTATCCACTGGTTCTTATATGTTGCTATTATTTTACCCAAATCCTAGCCGAACTTTGGTCGTTGATATGATGTAAATTTCCTTTTAAACATCCCTAGCAGATGTTCTCGTATGCTTTAACACATTACTCAATAAGTCTCCATTCTGACACATATATGGCATCACTGCTGACAGACCTAAAGAATGGTATAAGCAACACGTGTGAAAATTTTATGACATTCGGTCCATTAGTTTACAGGTTATAGTTGTTTTAGGAATGCTACTTTCAAAACAATGGAAAAATCAGAATTTCGTATGCTGATTAAAAAACTTTTGATGAGAAAAAGTAGCGCTCACAATCCGCTTTGGCTTGAAAGATGTTATATAGCGACTCTTGTCTGAACTGTTGAGTAGTTTGCTAACTTTAAACACAGTCGTATTGACACTGATGATGTACAACGCTCTAGCCGCAAAGTCAACTTGCGTGAGGTAGTTAACACTTTGAAGATGCCAGAAGGCAGTCTATTTGCTGTTTTGCATGAACTTTTGTCCAAGAGAAAGCTGCGTTCAAAGTGCTGCTTGACACTGTTGAGGGCAGTACGTGACTATGGATGAAGCATGGGCTCATTAATGCTCTCCAGAGGCAAATTGGCAGTCGGCTGAGCGAAGAGCTTCAGGGCGATATGTTACAATGGACGAATCATGAACTCATCGGCTGAGTGGGCTGCAACCGCTAATGGCCGCCCAAGGCGACCAAAAAAAGTACTCGTATTTAAACAACTGTAACCTATACTAGTCAGAATGCCATGAAGTTCTCACACGTATCCTTTGAAGGTTGGTACTGCTGCTATGTATCACACCGAAGACTTATTGAGTGAGTTGATATAATATTATTGATCCAACAATCGCAGAAATTGAAAGAGTGTTTTTTCAAATAAAAAGCTCTGGGCGTACCACTCTGTTAAAGAGTCAACGTTAAGCAAATATTTCACTTTCTTATCTGTTTTAGTTGATATCTGAGTGAAATTTTAGTAAGTAATTGAAGCTCTCTACTACTTTTTGTAAGACGCGATTTCAAAAATAAATTTCAATTGAAAAAATTCAAAAGGCTTTTTTAAATGGCTGCCCGGCACAGATCTGGATTAGAATAGATAAATCTGTAGAGGATTAATGTAAGCATCAAATATAATTTATTTAGAAAATTCCGATCCTTCGGTTCTTTATATTTTTGGACTAATGCTGAAGTGTCAGAAATTTTTAATTAGTTTAGGATTAAGATTGAAGCTAAAATAATTAAGGTAAATGAAATAGTTTTCCAAAATATATTTAAGAAAAAATCAACGGTTTCAAGAGCAATGTAAATTCTCGCCAGACATTCAGATCGCTTGGTGGCCGTTAAATAAGCCGGGAATTTGTACCACGATCTACATTTCATTCTTTTTCATTATTTTCGCGCTCCTCTTTTCTTTCCAAATTAATATGTACAGGCGTCACCTGCTTAATACGATTAACTTGCACCGGGCTGTGTCGAAATTTTTTTATTTTTTTACATAAACTAAAGTATTACATAGAATAGCATAGCTTCACAAGTGTCGTGATAAGCGGGGAGATGCCTGTACACAGTGTATAGTCTATTATAACATAACTGTGGAGAAGACAAGAAGAAAGAAGTGACCTTGGTTTAGGATTTTGAATCATGTCTTTGGTAATTAAAGGCGATGTTTGGCTATCTTATAAAGACGTCAGGAAATCATCCCAAGGTGCTTGTACAAAGAAGCCGCTACGAGCAATAATCCTCTCTTTTCTTCCAATAAACAATAAGTGTTGTTGAGCGACATAGGATTTAGAATCAGCGTATCTGAGCGTATCCAGAGATCTCTGCGTCTATGCTGCTGTTCGTTTATTTATGCTTCTTGTGGTGCGCTATGTATTTACTCATTTTTTTACAACGATCATACCTCCTTCCTGTTTGCGCTTCGATCGCTAGTCTTCTTCTTTGTGATCCACCAACATATTTTTAGTTTGTCCACTCATGAGTTCATCTCTTCTTTACGACTTGCGACGACCTTTTCTCCGGTCATTTGCTCATCACTTATCTATTTCCACGCCGTTAGCGCGCTCTGTGTCCGTCCAACTAATCGACCCTCTATTCTATCGCATCTCTACCACTTAGTCAATAATGTGACCGCCTTTTTGTGCCTTTGCCTTTTAATGACTTCTACTTTCTTTTATATTGGATAGAGAATTTTAAGAATTCGGCAATAGCGTTATCCCATTTCTAATGCAATGTATTTTCAAAACATTGATTTTTGTATGATTTGTGAGTATTTGAATTGAAATGTCGCCAATTTTCAAATAGAAGATAAGCCGATTTAAATTAACTTATCGACAAGTAGTGGCTACAGATGGTAGAAAAGTCAGTTAGCAGTTTGTAAAGCAAATTGTGAGAAAAAAGAGTCGTCACATAAATCTTGACAACTGGAGGAAACTACTGTTACTTGATTTTTTTGCGCCCAAGTTAGAAAAACCAGTGCTTAATTTTAGAAACTATCTACAACTGTTTTTTGCTTATACCAATTAAGTGCCTTTCAAACAGACTCCTTCTTGTGTTGCCAAATCTTTTCAACTCATTTGTGAATAAAACGAAAACCTTGAGGGGAAGAATATATAGTAAGGCAGGGTTAGAGGTACATAATCAAGCCCTTGTTTTCGGGGTTTCCAAATTTTAATATTTGCAGCAATTTGTGCGTTTTCTCTTAATAATTCACCTTAGGATTTTACTAAGCAAATAATCAGTAATAATGGTTACGTACTCTTCTAAAGCGTGTTTTGAGATGTTTTAAAGCAACGAAATTCTCACGAAGTGATGTGGTCATTTTTCGTCGTCAGCTAACTGTTCATGTAATATTAACGATCTGCAAATCAAACCGACCACTAAGCTTGAGTTTGCAGTGCAAGCGAAAGCGTTTTCCGAAAATATAAAGCCTCCTCGATAGATGATGCAATATTTTGATTTTTTATAAGAATACACTTTTAAACCCTTAGGCCCTAAAAAGAATTGCTACCAATTGAAAGCTTCTATGGATATTACACAATCATTTGGAAAACATTGATCGATTCACTTCAAGACTACCAAAGAAGTGATATCTTCTTTTTTTCAACTTACAGGTCGCAATTTTGAAAATATTTTGATAAAACCCAACACGCCGATGTGTTTTGACCCAAGGATGGACGCTGTTGCAATTGGACTACTCTTTTGGCGCCTTCTCTTATGACATCTTATTGTAACAAGTCTTTATATGAATAACAGTATTAAGCAAAGTGACGGCACGAAATTTAATAATGGACCATGGCCTTGCATTCTTGCTTCTTTTTTTCTTTATCATTTATTTGGGGAATATTCCCTATTAAGGCGTATAGACCCGGTGATCGTCATAGACAAAGAAGAGCATAAAGACGAATATACTACTACTTACCATATGCTACCCACACTGGGAATTAACCCT